AGAGATTTCAAAAGCGCTGTAGGCTACTTTTCATCATATGATTTATGGTGCAATAAATTTTTCAATTCTGGCAAATACATAATGTGTCAAGATCATGAATGTCATAAGGATACAGATAAATATCATATATATTTCATTTTTTTAAATAAACATAGATATACAAATTATGTAATGCATACGGTGAACATTAACATTGATAAACAGTATTTTAAACTTCTATTAACAATATAACAGGATCAGGTAAACTTAAAACCTTGTCTATCAAATCAAAATATGGGAATAAAGTCAAAAACTATTAATAAATTTAAAATAAAATTTATTTTCAAGTCATTCCAATTAAAGACTAATAAATTTTTATTTCCTGTACTCACACGGATAGAGTTAGCTCAGATTAATGAAAATAGATTGCAAAAGGTTTTATCAACATTGTAGTATGCAGAGAAAACTAAGAAGAAAAGCATTTATCTGTAAACTCTATTTCTTTCATTAGATACAAGTATACTATATATAAACTTTAGAAACCGCATCAATAAACTTTATCATTTTTCTTTTAGTCATTGCTACAAATAAGTATGGTTTTTAAAAGTTGATTGGTTAAATAAAAAGTTCGGGATCAAACGAATTCATTTAAATGCTTTCAAAAAAATTCGATCGATTCACCACTACGTTACCATACTTTGAGTGAGCTAAGTTTATTCCCAATTTTTTAAATTATATACCGACATGAAATCAATAAGAACTATATTTCACCCTGTCCAACGAAACACCAATAAAAATCTGCACATCAACTTTTTCATATTTACATATTTATTGCAACTTCAAAAATAATATTACTATAATTCAACTAATGTTTACATGGTAAAGAAAAACACGAAATTTCAGTAGTTTGCTACTTGATTGCGTGACTTTAGGCTCAAGTTTAGTAGTAAAGTATTGTTTCAAGATTTACGTTTAATCGCACATAGGAGATACATCCAAAATGATATACATATATATATATATATATATCCTTATTAAAAGGTAATCTGTGTTTGTTTGTGGAATATGATATTATACTTTTTTTTGTGAATCAGGATATGTAATATTTGTACAAATAATGTATTCAACATAACATGAGATCATACTTTATGTACATCGAGTTTCTGTTTTACAAGAAGTCATTTTAGAGTATCTACTAAATTTACAACGAAACTAAACTGAAAATGTTTTTGTCGTACAAGAAGTAAGATGTACAAATATATATATATATATATATATATATATATATATATATATATATATATATATATATATGAGTCATTTTATTGACTAATTAAAAAAATTTCAAGACATGAATTTCAGTTTCATTATACAATTAACTGACCATATGTTGCTCACACAAAATGTTCACATGTGTTGCCATAGGTATATATTTACATTTTCCATAATTTCATTCCTTAAAACTAGTAAATACAAGTAGTTACTTAAATAAAAGGAATGGATAAATAGAACGAAACAATGTACAGAATTAAATTATTTTTGCTATTTCCTAATACGGCTGCGCATAAAAATTTTTATATATTCTTGAGATTTTTAAAATTATCTACTGATAATCCGTTTAAGGAATCGAGTGTTTTAATCGATTCATAAATAGCCTGAGTACTTTATTATTTTGTAAATAAAGTATGCATCATATACCAGCGGTTAGAGGTAGTTGACAAGAAGCTTTAAGCATAAATTTAGCACGATTTCACACTAGTCAGCAGAGTGTACCTTTAGTTTTGAAGGAACTGATGATTCATGGAGGATGCGGTTCTGTGTTACCCAGCTTTATAACCAGAGATATTACCACTTAGCTACTTTGGACGCTAATGAACTGTAGGACTGATATGGGTATACAAGTTACTAATCCCTCTGTAGCGACCAATGATACGTAACTCAAGTCCTTCTTAGTGCTGATTGGATTTAATCAATAAAGTTTCAATGTGCCAATCAGTTGCAAATACACTTTAGTTCTTCAGGAGGTCATTAGCGTTTAGAATAACTCAGTGGTATCGTCTCTGAGTAACAAAGAATCGAATTCTCCATAAAGAAAGTTCACTTTAGGGTTACAGGTACAACCTACTGACGAGTGTCATACTTACAAGACCATTTTAAAGTTTCCTGTCGACTATCTTTAGCCACCAGCTCTCATTTAAATACAGTACTTGCAATGTCAAGTCATTAGTGACCGGAACGCAACTTGGTAGATAAGATTCGATCAGCATTAAGAAGAACTCGAAATACATGACAATGGTCACTATTCAGTAGTCAGTCACTTGTAAACTATGACTTGACTACAAAGTGCAAAACTTAAGAATGCTATTGATTTCAGCGTTTGAGAACGTTTGGAGTTTACTCTAAATATAGTTAAGACTCTAACTCCTCCATCTTATCCATGAGCTATTTCATAAGGTGATGACTAAAAACCTAGCATCCGATTGCCGAATTATTTACTGCGTAACCAAGTATGTTAAATGGTGTTGCCCATGCCAATGTTCGTTTAGATCTGTTTAGATCAAAGGACTTACAACAATAAATATTAACGTAAGTACGTACCTAAGTTGACTACTAGGTTAAATATTTCGTCACTAGAAAAACTGCGGTTTCGATAATCGGTGGATTTATTAAATTTCCTGGTCGGTTTGATTGAAAAAAGGTAAAATGAGGCACTGTAATACCAATCTCGATCCCAAAACTGAGAATCTTTCTTTAAAAAAATCATAAGTTGTAACTTCATATTAACACACAAAATCATAATAAATTTTTATCCGTAGTGGATAATCTAGGAATAGATTACAACAAATTCTATGCCACTAGGAAATTCTCACTTAATGTGTTTGAAATTACTACACTAAAGTAAAGCTTATGATAAAGAAGTCTTAACAGTATTTACTTAGTTTAGTTTCTGTGAGCAAAGTTAACAATATGGTAGTATATTTCATTTTAAATTAGGCAAAAGAAAACCTGCTGATTCTTTTGTCTCATTACGTTTTTTACAAATGTTTTGGATTAATCCCAAATAAACTTTATGATATACGAGTTTTTTTAGACACAACTTTATTCTAAAAGTATTAATAGAAGTTATTAGCTTGGTCAATAAACCAAACAGCAAGTGAAGTAACTTACCAAGAAAGCAAATTTTTACATTTAAAAATATATATAATCTTATAATTTGAAGTAATCAATCTTTTGTCCCTAAACTAGTAGACATTAAAAGAGTTAATGTATAACATAACTGGACAAAACTCTTGGGAATAGTCATGGGACGTGAAAACGATTCCATCTTTCCAGTAAGATTTTCATCTTTAGCTACGTTTTTATTAAAGTCGGTACATTTGTTAAGTTAACATTACTGAAAAATATGTTCACTGATATACAAATATCTATATTCGATTTTATAAAAACATCAAGATGCCGATATTTGATCATCGAAATCGCCTTGACAGAAAGTGAGTTGATTTTTTTTCTCAGCTTACCAAATTTGAAGTAAGTATTTAAGTTTATCATTATATGACGAATCAGTGTGACGAACATTCATGAACTTGTCTAATCATAACCGCAGATTTCTTGACACTTTTAATAATAATGAACATCGTTTCCGAACCTGCTGATAGTTATCAGGTTAAGTAGAAATCCAGTCTACATACATTTCATGCCTATAGACACCATAAACATCACTGCTCAGTACTGCAGTTAAAAAGCCAATTGTTTTTGTGCATTTCGGTTTCATGTAAATCTTTCGTATATCTAGTTTCGGTAAATAATTTTGTCATCAGATAGATTCTGATATCATATAAATTTATCTTTAAGGATGAGAGAATTTCAGTATTCAGGTCCAAAACCTGGTCAATGGGCTTATTAATTTGAAGTGCTAGATTCATGAAAGGGGAACTTGATATAAAGCAAGTAGATATAATAAAAACAGAACTTTTACATATGTAAACTGATAACATTTGTCCAGCTTCACGATACTACAGAAGAAACCAGTTATCGAAACATATCTTCAAATACTGAAACACATAAGTGTGAAAAAATGAAAACGCTGAACAAGCTGAACGACAAATATGTACGAGTCAGATCAGAACATAGAATTGTGTACTTTTTATCTCGGTTAATCGTCTATGTGAAAATCCGGGAACAAGTTACCAACATTTATTTACTATTTTAGAATCCTCAGTTTAAAGGGTCTTTCATTTTAAATGTTTTTCTAAACAGCTATAAAATAACAGAACTCAAACATTTCGGTAAATATCAGTAACAGTTATTGATATACAAGTGTCATTATTTTCAGTTTCATATTGAGTTCTGTGTCATCAGACGAAGTCTTGATGAATTTCCATCTCATTAAGTGGTAATGAGCATAACTCTTTACAGTTAAGCTAAAGTATGAACAGTGAATTAATTATCTACTCCATAGTAAATCTAGAATCTTAGTAACATTGAAGAAAGTTCTTCTGATAAAAATTCGCATTCTAATCTAAAAAATATCAATAGATTTCAATAATAAAGGTGATCATAAACTTTTGACTAATTCTATTTAGGACTTTTTGTTGAAGATTAGGTATCTGTTTACCAGATTTATTCGAACAATTTCAAGCAGCATTCTAATTACATTCTTGTTAAAATCAAGCCAATTAACCACTATTTCCACCAGAGTTGATAAATTTCCGAAAAGTCGAAAAAGGATTCTCATGCATAAAATCCAACTATGAGCACGGTTTTTTGAAGAAACAAAGACAAGTTTTGAGACATTTCATTTCTGAGTTCAGATAAAGATTAAAAAAAGCATGTCGGGTATCACATTTATCGCTGTTACATGAATTATTATTTCTGTCACAAATGCTATGATAATCAATCGAAACTTAGGAAATAACTAATGATAGTTAATTACACCAGGAGTGAAAGTTATGACCACTAAATTAACATTTGATAAAATCTTAGAAATAAAAACATGTATACCTCACAAAACATTAACTAACCTGAAAATCAACCAATGCATTTTGCACAATGTAATTAGCAATGGATTTCAAATTGACTGAACCAATTTTGTAATTACGTGAAAATCCATCTTGAGCACGGACAACATGCACATTATACTTACATGATAACCAATCTAAAATTGTTTTAAAGTTTATGAGAAATACAGCAGTTAACTGTACGAACAAATGTATATTTACGAAATCAATAGATAAGTCTAAAGCGATTATTTTAAGCTGGTTTAACTTCTGCTCAATGTACAACTTTTTTGCTTTATCACATACATTTAATTCATTGGGGTCACGATGACCAAAAGGATTTGTTAGCTGTATTGAATGTTGAAGATGATTGCATGCTTTTAATTTGTAATTTGAATTTTCGTTACTATTATTAGGAGAAGTCATAATCATTTCATCTGATTTCCAGTGTGATAAAAATATCAGCCAAAATGAAAATGTTACAATGACAGTTATTGAATCAATAAAAAAGTTGTAAGCCAAACTTTGTTTTGTCTTGCTTTGGGGCCAACCTAAATGAACTGAAGAAGATATAGATCTCGTCATTTCTGATTGCTTGTACCGTTTATATCCAATAAGACGTGAATATGATATGAAGGGTTCTTTATTATGTATGCAAAATAATAGTTCCTTAAAACGTGTTGAATATACATAACTCGAACACAAAGAAAATAATAAGAGCTTTGTACACATTTCGATGATTTTCACTTCATAGTACACTTCATTTTTTTTATCCATTTTATGGGGAACATCACGGTTTGAACTTATTTTACTGCGTGTGTGTATAAATCTGATTGGTGATGTTGATGGGCTTGATGACGAAACTGGGGATGAAAGCAGTGAAAACCACCATGATGAATGAATGTTTGGTAAGGTTAGCATTAAAAAAGGACTAAAAAATGTGATGCTCACTGTTAATATTTCCAGAAAGATCAATAATTTATGTATATAATACAGGCAGTTCTGTTTTTTGCTCTGTTCACAACAATTTAAATGCATTTCTTCATTGTCTGACCATTCTGATACTACATGATCAGAGATTTGTTTTCTATGCTTTAAAGATTTATGACATTCAATATATTCTTTATTTGAGCTTACTAATGAGCACATTGAAACGTTTTGATGATTAAAGTATATTCGTGGATTTATTCTAAAATGTAGAAAAAATCTTTTTGGTAAATTCGTTGAAGTAAAATTTATTTTACATTTAGATCTCAATGAAAATAATTCATTAAAATCGGTCAAGCAGCTGTGAGAAAAATTATTTTTATTACTGTTGGTGTAATAAATCAGTTAGTTCAAACCTACAATGGATTCATTGAATTTCCCATGGATTCTGAAAATCTTAGAGTATGATTCAACAAATCAAGGAAGTTGGGAGAATAATAATACAAGCCATATATTTTGTTTCATGAGCTAACACAAATGTATGTGACAAAACTAAATACAATCTGATTTACTGAGTCCTCTTTAAACTTATTCTGTTTTATTATAATGTTCAATAATTATGTCTCACAACTGCATTTATGTTTAAGGTTATCAAAGACGTACCATTTAATTTTACAAAACTGAAACCTAAAATTTATTACTATGCAGATCAATGTCATAGACAATTTGATATGAACATACAATGGAGCATTTATAATTAAATATACAGAGTTTCGAAATATTTATTTCAATGTAGACTGACATTTCATATGTTAAGATGTCAGAATCCATATTAATTTGTGATTTTTTCTGCATTTGAATTAGACGCAACAATAAACACATCAGTTTTCCCTGTTTCATGATAAAGTCCTTCAAAAAAATTAGTGGCAATAAAAAAGACTTCAGACATCTTGAGATTGAAGAGTGATAAAAATGTGTCACACAGCTTCCGATTCTCGTTGTTAGTTTAACCTTATCTAAACTCAGTTATCACTACGTCAACAACCTGAGGTGGTAAGACAATATAAACATTATTTATTCCACTACAACGATATGTATCATATTTAACTTCTTAATTTAAAAATGCATATCATAGATGAGCATATTAAGCACAAGTTATGATCGTAAAACACATTTTTTAAAAATTTTTATCCTCAACATATATGCCTGCTGACATAACTAAATCAATAATAATCAAATGAACTGTTAACAGTTTCGCTCACAAAAGAATTCAGAAAATGTTACACAGAGACCAAATAAATTATAAAATCTGTCTTTGCCAACGCTTCATACTGTTAACTGGGGAAATTTTCTTTAATCTATCTGTGATAAATACTTTAATTTCATCTCTTAGTATTCATAGGCTACTTATGCAGTTTGTCACGTGAACTCATGTTACCAAATCATACAGTATTCCCTAGTGGCCTGAGCTGATATACAGCTTCTACTGCCTTCTGACGTACTGCATAATCTTTTTGAGTTCACAAATTTCACCAAGGCAGAATGCCACTGCAATCTCATTTACGGTTTCAGATGCTTAAATATTTAGATTTATTCTGGTTAAATGCAAAAAGTGATTGCATCCTCTATTCTGTTCGCTATTATTGAGTATTTGGTAAATTATCACCAAAAAGCTTAGAGAGACACGACTATATAAATCTTTTAAAACCACAATTTTTGAGACTGGAATCCAATCCAGTATCATAATTGAGGTCGAAACACAAATTTGAGAATAATTTCGTAAGAAAGTTTCATGTCAGCTAAGTAAAACATTTTAGTCTTCATGTGTCTGAATTTGTATTTTACAAATACAAAGAAAAACTCAAAATTGTAAGACCTATCAACAAAAATTTAGCTTTTTAGTGAATAATGTCACTGTTTTATTTACAGTTTATCAAGTTCGTTCTATATGTGTTACTATATGTACCTATGTATAAATAAACTTTATACTGCTCTGTAGATTTCTCATGAAATGAGATCCAATACCATCTCATCCAGGTATTTATTGTTTCAAATACTTCTAAAGAATATGAGGTGGCCCTCAACTCTCTAGGTACTGACAGCCATGACTAACAACACCTTTGGTAAATAACAGAGAAAATTGCCGACAGATAAATAATTCACTAAACTATAATGTATAGGATCATATATTTATGTTTGTTGAAACTTCAAAACCAAAAACTTATTGAAATTCGTTTTCTCAGTTCAGTCAGTCAGCTTCAACGTAGAACTTCGTATGTACGTACGTCAGTTCAAGTTACCGTACTACGTTAGCACAAGGAGGTATAATTTTTGACTTAAATCCAAGAATAGTAGAGCTAGTTGAAGTAATTTGAAAGATTAGAGTTTGAAGATATTTTTCAAGGAGTATATTACAGTGAAAAAAGGATTTGATTGTGACCAATTTAGTCTTGTGTGCTCTTACAGCTGTCGCTTCTTGGCTACCCACATCGTGGAAGGATAATTCTTGACGAACATGAAAAAGAAGCTGGATAAGCGTTGGTCTTAATGACTTGAGAGCGTGACTGCAGAGCTCAAGGGATATTTGCTTTAGGCCGGTCATAAACGGCCCTTTTATGGGTAATATTTAAAGTGTTATCTCCGTTGTTGTTTAAAAGTCCCTACTTCCAGAGACGGAAATCCATGAGGTAAGGTGAGGCGTGACAACTTAAGGGTAGACTTTTTCTAACCCCTTCCTTCCCTATGAGGATGCAGCGTCGCTTTAGATGCTGGTCGTCCTATGACAACACCTCACTGCTCTCACACCCCTTTACAGTCAGCAGTGCGACGTCACCGTCGGACTCTGAGTAGCTCCTTTTAGTCTCATCGTTCTCCAGTCGATCTGCCTGGCGTGATTGAGCCTAGAGGAACATATGTTTTAACCAATATAGTTGTGTTGGGCCATCACGATTAGAAAGCCCGACCACCACATCCAGGTGGCAGCTACGGTAAGGATAAATCTGAGAAGAGGAAGGTGAAGGTCATGAGGGTTTCATATTAGAATCTGGGAGAACACAATGAGTGGATACACCTGCTCCACTTGAAACGATTTTCAACCATATCGTCTAAAGTCTCTAACGGGTACCGTTGTTTCACAGACCTCAAACAAGTAGTGTACACTAACTAACATGACTTGGTCCAGTTGTCAGTGACTTCATGGATTTGTGCTATGTTTTGTTTTAGCCGCGCCTAGCTTTCCTCCGGCCTACTCACACATCACAATACACTGCTCTTCAAGACAGTCGGTTGTTGAGCATACATCACATATATCCCAACCAAGTCAACTGAAAGAGGTTCACTCCTTCATCAGTAGATCTGTCATCCTTACCTAGGACCCGTTTCCTAAAAACAGGATTTTTCATATTTACCTAATACTCTATGTCTAGTCCTAGCATTCATCACTCACTCGTTGTGGTTTAGTATGCATAAGTAACAAGTAAACATTATATAATATGATAAAAACAACTATAGGCTGGTCAATAAATTAACTCTTACTCCTTCTTAGGTGCATTTATGGCTGTCCATTTAGACAGAAAACCTAACACAAAACACTGAAACTTAACACGATACGAAGCTGATTCTATTGTCTGCAACAGAATGAAAAATAAAATTCAAGAAAAAGTTGTAAATAAAGTTAAATAAGGACACTAAGTCAAAAAATATTAATGGATATCTTTACTAATGTCAAGTAAGTTATGACCAACAAAATCCATTGTACGATTTACGGGAGTCCACTAATAGCAAAAATAAAAAACTCATTTTCCGTGTAAAAAAGATTTATTCATTGATATGTGTGTGTACGGAAGATGTTAGCTCCAGTCGTATTTATGTTGCAATCCATTGCTACAATCTTACAAAAGCTTATGATTCTGCCTTATAGAGTATATTGCTTATTCTTTAGAAGGCTAAACCTATGAGACGAAGACTCAGGACACAGTAGGTTGGAGAATGCTGGTTGGCGGCCCATGCTCTACTAAGAGTAACAGGCTTAAGCAAAAAGTAGGTAAGGTATATCCAAGTATTTTATAATTAATTCGTTTAGATTTACAAAATTTTCAGAACTGAAATTTTCAAAAAAACAATATATCAAGTTCTTTCAGACATAGTTTTTATTTTTGAATGCTGCTTCACACGCAGAGCAAGTCGATGAAATGGAACAAAACGATAAGGTTAATGACCGTCCTATTGAAGTAATTGTCTTTAGGAATGGTTTGCTGAGTGTAATGTATGATTGCGAGTTTATCACCATTGTTTCGGTACGCCATAGCGTTATCGATATTATCAATTTCAAACCTTTTGGGAGTGCTTTCAATGCATGTAAATAAATACTGAGTGGACATATAAGTTAAAAGCAAGAAAAGGAGCAGCACAATCAGTAATAGAAGTTGGAAAAAAATATAGGCAGTTTACAAGCTTATTTACACTCCAAACGACTCAGAGAATTAAGATATTCGACGCAAATGACAATCGAAAGAAAATGCAAGCTTCGATTGCAAGTTAATATGGAATACTATAAGCTATAAATGGCTTTTATGATACTTCATTGAAACAGATAATCAATTTTTCCTTCTATTCTTAGAACGGCTTTATAGAACACCAAAAAATTCATTTTTGTAATTGAATGAAGATAACGAATAATTACTTCAGTAAAATGCACATGGTCGTATATGCAATCTGGGTTAGTAAATGGGTTTATAAAGGTGGGCGAAAGACAAATAGAAGTGGGTTAATGTATCTTATTAGGTATTGTGAAATACCATATATTTTATAGTTTCTTCTTAAACGATAAGTTCTGAAATTTTCGGAATGCATTTTGATAACCCGAAGCTAAATAAGATTCCGGATTTTCTCTAAAAGAAGAACAAATTTTGAGGTTATGGCTGAAGAGAACGATGGCTTTGTCTCAATGTAGTTCCGATTTCGGGTCAATTTTAAGGAAAGCTCCGGAAAATATAGGTTTTTGATTGCATTTCCCTAACGTTTGTATCGAGAGCAACAACAAAATTGATTACACTTCATCAAATGTTCAAAGATTGGGTGATAAATTAAGGTAAGAAGCATAATTCCTCTCTAGAAATAAATAAAAAATTAATACATCCATATGAATAAGACTGCCAGATATTTCCATTGAGGTGCTTACTTTCTGTAATGTTAACAGAAAACTGTTTTGATTTAGTGCCCTTTTAAGACAAACTGGTGCATTTAAAAAGTGTTGGTTCCAATACAATATCCAATCTTGTCGATGTACAATTAATAACTTGTTGATTGCCTATTCTCCCCTTTTTATATAATGTAGCCCCTGAATATATATTTAGTAGGAGGGTACGTTAAGAAACGATATTTCTACATCATGGATAATATATATATATATATATATATAATTAACCGGGCAAAGTTCGCAGAATTAGTAATTTTTACTTTATCCGATCCTTGTTAATTCACTCAATTGAAGTTCTTGTATCAGCGATCGGTGATTAATGTCTCAAAAATATGTTTTAACCACTCAACTCAAGAAGTAACAACTGTGAACACAAGAATAACTTATTGCAGTAAAGTTGGATGAGGAGCATTCTGGGAAATTTAAAAAATATAAGTATAAAAAACTGTGATATCCGATGCATATATTCTAAATGTTCACACTCCCCGAAAGATATATTATGCAGCTTACTGTGACTGTGATGAAGAACTTCATTATTTCCTTCGTATACAGCTTTTGATAGTCGATTTATTTATTGCCTAAATATGACCTTAAAAATAGTAGTGAATTTTGGACGAATGGAAACAGAATAATTGAAAAAACCACGTTTCGAGCCTGTATATGTAGGAGTTTAGATCCACATCCGCAAATTCGCTCGTAAATTAAAGTCCCGTGCCGTAAATAAGTTTAGCTTAAATGCATAAAAGTCAACTTCAGCTGCGTCTTATCGATAATGTTTTGATACGATTGGATGATTGTTACCGATAAGTGTATCATGCAAGGAATTTCTTGGCTCTCCCCATATATTTGACTACAAGATGATTATTTGTCTTAAAAGGAGCTAAGGAAATAGGAAGGACACTGGCGGTTCGTACAGATATTGAGTTCTGAGCCTATCACAAAAAATAGGAGTTTCCTGTTGCAAGTAATGATTATAAATTTGTTCTCAAATAACAGCATGTTACAAGAGTCATACCACTTTACAGGCTGGCTCATATTGTTACAAATACTACCACATTCACTGTAGAGGTTAGCGTCTGTTTCAAATAGCATATTTACACCATGTCACTTACAGGAACAGTTTGGTGTTTCGTGAAGTTTTAATGTTGAGTTGTTCTATTTTTCAGTGCTGTGACACCCTTTCGATTACTGAGGTGAAAGCATCTCAGGCTTCGAAAATGGATGCTTCGGTGTCGAGGTGTGCCAGCTTGATTGGTTAGGAAATATTCTCCATAATTATAGAAAATTCTTTCTTTCCTTTAGTGGACTTTGCTTTAACACTTGGTAAATCGATTATAGGTCTGACGAGAAACGCCTCACAGTACGAATCGTCGGTGTAAGCTCACCATTCTGTCCTACGTGTAGAATTCGGAGGGACTTTATTTTGTTCAGGACAAAATGCTGGACGTAGGGTCGAATAATATCGATGACTGACGTTAACAGAAAATGATTTACCAACAGGAACTTAGTTGTACGCTTTAAGCGAGTTACTGTCTAAAGAAAAAGCCGTACTATTGAAGTTTGTTCTAAATTCATAGATGACAGCTCACAGGTCACGTTTATGTACGGCTTTTTCGTTAAGTCTCTGACAATTGCCTGTTCAGTACACAATGCTGCTGTAACGTATAAGAACCTTCAGTTGTTTACCGGCGGGAAAATCTCTAAGTGATCTCGGTTGTTCTTGACCTGTTTTTAGTGGCTCGTTTGTGCATTCGCAAATATAGATAGTCCTGCAATCACCATATGATATGTAACGTTTCCAGTGTTTTGAGATAGTTGAAGTGGTGCTTTGTACAATTTCGAAAACCTATTTTGTATTGATTATAAAAACTGATTGATGATATGATTATTCTTTTCCGGACATAACTACACAAATCGGTATAATTACTAAACACGACCGGCTTTAATTGACCAGTTAATCATGTATTATTACTTTTATAACGAAGGCAATAGTGGGCTCGCAAAAATAAAAATCCGCTGGATGGATATGCATGCAACAGAATGCTTCGATGTAAGGTTTGAGGCTGAAGAAACATCAGGATTTCCCACAGTTGTCTTGTTACCAACACCCGTATGTGATATTTTTTACTTCCAGTCTCGGTGCGTTATTTTCGTCGTGAGCTTCTTTGGGGAGCTTTGCATCATGAAGGATTCGCAATTTTGCTATACGTTAGTTGGCGATTTTCATTCTGAAAACAATCTTGCATTTTATAAGGTTTCTTCAGTGTTAGGTTGATGGTTGATGGCACATCCTAAGTAGTAGCATTTCTCTTATCGAACAGCAATACGTTTCAATATTTTGGAGTTTATCAATCTGTTTAGGTCTGCATATTAAAGAGAGACTCTTTCAAAGTGTCATGAGTTTCTTGAACATCACAAGGAAACAAACAATAACGTCCTTTAATAAAATGCCCAAATGTTGACGAACGGTTAAGAAGAATCTGAATGAATTAACAAATTGTTTGGTTGAAGATAAAAGAAACTCATATATATAAATCTTCTTAGTTATTCCTTGTCTGCTGCGGTTTTCCAAGCGAATAACGTAAATTGTCTGTAGATGATCACTGGCAAATATTGATAGACCATCCAGAATGCTGTCCTAGACAATTTATCTCATTTGCAATGCAAACCTAGATGTGGAAGAACATAGGTTATGTGCCGCACTGAACGCTTGCTGCAGGAGAAGAGGAGAGCCTGGGACAAGTGGAAGGTCTCTCTGATGGATTCAGATCTTAGTTATTACTTGGAATTTGGAAACATATACAATAACAAAGTTCAAAGTGATAAGAGACGCGTTCAAATGAAGCTAGCTGTCCAAGTTTAGGCAAACCTTGAGCCTCTGTTCAGGTTCATGAAAAAAAGAACCAAGGTGTGGGATCCTTACAAGATCTCAGCAACCTAGAGATAGCTGAGATCTGTAACACTTAAGTTCACTGATCAGTCAAACTAGATATCCACATTTTTAGAGTACGACTCAAACTTGGTGTTATCTAATGTCTTAGGGAATATTTGAATTAATCATTTTTAGTACGAAGGAAACCAAATCCTTACGCACAGGAAGGTCACCAGGGTGTGAGAATATTCACCCCATAGTTTAGAAACAGTGTGCAGAAGCTCTCAATTCACAGATACATGACCTGTTCAGGCATTCAGTAGAGTCACACCTACTCTCAACTGAATGGAAACAAGCTACTCTCTTTCTAATCTTCAAAAGAGGAGATAGGAAGGACCCAGTTTGTTACAGACCAATCGCATTACGACCGATAATATCGAATGTTCTGGAAGGACTGGGGGTGAGCTGATTCATGAGTAAGTGGATATGGACAGTAATAATAATGAAGCTAAACATGGGTTTCAGAAAGGCAGGTTGTACGCATTCA